AGGTTTTTCGGAGTCGACTCCGACTCCCACCATAGGAGTCGATAGAATCGACTCCTCGACTCCATTTACCGTGACTGTCCAAATTAGTCCAATTTAGTGGCGACATTAACTTTAAATGAGCTATCACCGTTGCTTGCTGTTGCCGACACTTAATTTCACAGAGGGAAAAGTCACGAAAAATAGCCGTGGTGGAATGTTCTCTCAGAATTAAATAAAAAAAATAATATATTCTTTAATTAATTTGTCACATTATAATGGTCAGGGGATGGCGCTAAACGAATATCGTCTTAAACAGCAAAAATAAATAAAATGGGCCTAAATACAAAAATACATACGAATGTAGACCTGTCAGTTTTTAATGATTTAAAGGGGTCATATGATGCGATTTCAAGTTTTCCTTTCTCTTTGGAGTGTTACAAGCTGATTGTGCATAGATAAGATCCCTGAAGTTGCAAAGACTAAAGTCTCAAAACCAAAGAGATATTCTTTATCAAAGTTAAGACTCTGCCACGCCCCCCTAAAACGGCTCGTTCTAACACGCCCCCACATATCTACCTCACTATGTGGAAATATTAGCATAATGCCGCCCAAATGTTCACGCACTACAAAGCGGTCACAGAAGCATGTATAATTACAAACTACTTTTCCACACCTGTTTCACACATACTCCGTTTGCAGTGCGTGTTTTTTTCCTTTCCCATGTTGAGCATTCACTCGATGCGTTCCGAGCGGTGCGTCTGCAGCATTGCAGCGATCGTTTCCGCACCGAGTCTATTTTTGCTGTGCTGCACACGCTGAATTAAAGTTACAGAGCATTGCTCACTTTAAAAATGTACATGGATTGATACGAAATGTATTAATTGCACCATAAATGCATATAGGCTAATTAACGTACTTTTAGCTATAGGGGTAAAGCAAGGAAAACTATACACTTTTAGATATACAGTATCTCACAGAAGTGAGTACACCCCTCACATTTTTGTAAATATTTTATTATATCTTTTCATGTGACAACACTGAAGAAATGACACTTTGCTACAATGTAAAGTAGTGAGTGTACAGCTTGTGTAACAGTGTAAATTTGCTGTCCCCTCAAAATAACTCAACACACAGCCATTTATAGCCTACCCCATCTTTATGTAGAGCAACAATACATTTTTTCAGATCCTCAGAGAGTTCTTTGCCATGAGGTGCCCTGTTGAACTTCCAGTGACCAGTATGAGAGAGTGAGAGCGATAACACCAAATTTTAACACACCTGCTCCCCATTCACACCTGAGACCTTGTAACACTAATGAGTCACATGACACCAGGGAGAGAAAATGTGTAATTGGGCCCAATTTGGACATTTTCAATTAGGGGTGTACTCACTTTTGTGGCCAGCGGTTTAGACATTAATGGCTGTGTGTTGAGTTATTTTGAGGGGACAGGAAATTTACACTGTTATACAAGCTGTACACTCACTACTTTACATTGTAGCAAAGTGTCATTTCTTCAGTGTTGTCACATGAAAAGACATAATAAAATATTTACAAAAATGTGAGGGGTGTAGGTGTACTCACTTCTGTGAGATACTGTACATGGTAACGATGGCACTTGTAGTTAGAAAAAGTTATTTTTATGTCCAGTCCAGCAGGGTTAATTATAAAAAAAACTAAAAAAGGCACGAGACGGCTGTTTCTGTCAATAGTAAGTTTTAATTTAAAATTGTGAGAGCCTACTACCTTTTAACGTAAGAAAAGTTGACTGTAGGCTGTGTTTACATGTTTTGCCACTTGCTTGAGCATCATAATACATAAACTTAATATAAATAAGTACAGAAGTCAAATTAATAATATTGCTCTTAAACATGAATGTCTATGAAAAATAGTATTACTGTGTGAAAAGATAATCATTATGCTAAGATAGAAAAAAAATGTGTAACAACGTTCAAATTTGAAATGGTGGTAATGGTGGTATTAGCCGCGGATCATAGTGCACTGAGCAAGCACACTGAGCGCATAGGCGACGAACCGCACACGGACTGCACTGCAAACGGATCCTCCCTTAATTTCATTTACTCTTTGCTGATATAATACAGCACTCAACTGCCATGCATGCACTATAGGGATTTAAAGGGGTCATATGATGCTGCTAAAAAGAATATAATTTTGTGTATTTGGTGTAATGAAGTGTTTATGCGGTTTAAGGTAAAAAAAACCCATTATTTTCCACACACTGTACGTTATTGTTTCTCCTCTATGCCCCGCCTTTCTGAAACGCATCGATTTTTACAAAATCATCGATCTGAAAAGCGAGGTGTGCTCTGATTGGCCAGCTATCCAGTGCATTGTGATTGGCCGAATACCTCAAGCGTGTGACAGAAATGTTACGCCCCTTACCATATTGTGATGATGCCCTGTCCGACGAGACAAAAACATTAAAACCCCATTATAAACGAGGCATTTGTTGCATCCAGTGGGGACAAAATTACGGATTATAATGACTTATATTGTCTTTTTACGCGTTGCGTTGCATCGCGCCGCGTAAACATAAAACCATGTCTGCATTTGTGATCGGAGAAATGACAAACAACAAGTGCTACTTTACACTGCCCAAAAAACTCGTCACACACCGCGGCCTTGAGTGAGCCGCCGGCTTGAGTGAGCAGAGGCGGGCAGGCTTGAGAAAGGTGCGGCCGGCGGATTCGACAAAGAAGTGTCCGGCAGGCTTGCGGCAACCACATGTGACGATCCCAGGCTGGACTCTGCTTCATCCATGGTGAAAGCTGATCCGGTGATCCACAGCACGAAGTTGATGTATTTCCTCAGCGACCAGCACGGATCAGAAGCGATATCGTCCTCTTTTGGAAGGCCAAACAAAGTAGTTTCGCTTTCACAACGAAACACACAGAGTCTCCACAACATGGCGGTGGCAATATACTACAGCTAGAATAAAAGTTACGCCTTCTTTCTTTGCGTGAACATTTGGGCGGAGTTATGCAAATCTTCCCAGATAGTGACGTAGATATGTGGGGGCGTGTTTAAATGAGCCGTTTTAGGTAGGCGTGGCTGACTTAACTTTTATAAAGAATATCTTTTTGGATTTGAGACTTTAGTCTTTGCAACTTTACAGATCTTCTTTATGCACCAAGAGCTTGTAACACTCCAAAGAGAAAGGAAAAATTGAAATCGCATCATATGACCCCTTTAAGCCTATCAGGGAGATTCTTAGTCTTCTAATTTTTTAACTTCTCAGTTTAAGTATTTCTGGGCAGTTTCAACAAATCAATCTAAAGATGAAAAAAGAAGCTTTAGTCTTAAAGGATCTAAAAGACACTTTATAGCAACCTGTGTATGTTGCTTTAAGAGAGCAACCATATTCGAGTTGTTTTATTTTTTCTTTTCAATTTCTTTTTAATCATTTATCATTTGATTATTTATCAAATTATTTATATATTCTTAATTAACTGATCAGTCATTTTATATGATTATATTTTGTATTATTTCCCTTTACCGTTTAATCTGTTGTGTGTCGTGTTCTCTTTGCAAACAGGTTAAAGATAAGAAAAGGTCTTCGTTTAAGGTTTTTAATGTCACTGGACATTGTTTTGAAGCAGTAATTTTCCATTGATATTGCTTGTGGTAATAACACTGGTTGGACTGAGCATCGAAATGAATGCAACTAAGATTCTGTATCATTTTACCATCGCTTCATCTCCTGCTTTCTGCCCCTCCTTGCTTCCCGTGCCTGCTGAGAGAAGACTGTTAATACAGCTTTGGGTAGTGAAACACTGATTTTGAGCACTGGACAAAACCTACTATTAACAGTTTTTGGATACCAGATATTTTCAGACAGGATTTGGCATCTGGGGTTGGATCCAATATCGCTGATGTGGAGACTTGATCTAAGATTTGTCTGCACTATCCGTCAATCTGTAGCCATTTCCTGCCTGTGCTCTTTTCCTTGTGTCAATAAGATTTAGTATTTCAGTGTTGCAAAACACTCCTTTTTGAAATGCATACATGATTTAATGTAATTATTGATCAGCTTTAATTTTTGATTTAATAAAGTGATTCTCCTGGTTATCTGATTTTGGATTCTCTTATTTACTGTCTGAATAGTTATAGCCTAGTTGGAAGTGTTCCAGATCACCATGTAATCAGTCTGCTCCTTTAACCTGGAGTGTGGCACAATCTGACGCACACAGATCCTGACCCATCAGACCCATTAGCACTGACTGATTACACACCATTGTCACGTGAAACTGCCTTTTGTCATGACAGGATTATGGCTGGATTGGATTACTGTTATATTCAAGGTTTCATTAACTAGCACTCTGTGTCCAGAAAACCTGGCCTTGTTTACAACAGTACAATGCAAGATTTTACACATGGCAAAGACCTGATATACTGTGGATATTTCATTGATATTATATATTAAATAACAAATTCAGAGGGACGGAAATGCAAGATGTAAACTGATAATTATGAGAATAAAAAGTAAGAATTATTATTATTAAGACTTCTAAGGAAAAAAGTCAGGATTATGAAATAAACTCAGAATGGCACTCGAACAGTAGAGCACAGCGCTAGCAAAGGTCATGGGTTCGATTCCCAGGGAATGCATGAACTAAAAAAATGCGTACTTTGAACGCAATGTTAAAGTCAAAGAGTCTGTCAGATGCAGGCTTTATCAAGAATACTGAACTTAACTGAATACGACAAATGCCAACCTATTCTCCAAAGAAAAATCATTTAATTGAGCCGGTGACAATCAGTGGTAATGAGATCATGTGAAGGCACGTGCTGACTTTCCTTGTGGTTTAGACAGAGATCATTTACCTGTCCTCACTATGGATTAGGTTCGCGAACAGCACAATGCACTACTATCTTACCCTTTGCTACGGTACACAAAAAGTGGGGGTTATTTGACATCACTTCATGCCAAAAATCCAGAAGTATGGCACAGAGCCACTGTCAACAGGTAGATTTTATTACTGCATCCTAATCCTTTTAGCCTCCTAATTTCTCCCGACCGTGGTTTTGAGATGCTGGCTGGATGCATGATGGCTTAATCCCTCCTTAGAAGAGGTTACGCTTTGCCCTCCTGCGTTACTCGCAGCGTCTCACCAATGGAGGAGCTACTGATACCCACAGATGCCACGGAGGTGCCGCCCAAGCCTGCCATCTTCTTCTCTCCGGCGGGACCTGCTAAAACCCTGCTGCAGAGAATGAAGGACTTCATGGCAAGCACGTTCTCGGTCGGTGTCAGAGAGTATGTGAAGGACTACATCAGGCAAAACGGGCTGCTGACGCTCTCGGTTCTAGCCGTGATCACAGGATGCGTCATGGGCTTCATGCTGAGGGGTCTGGACCTCTCCCCACAGGTAAGGCTAATTAAACTGGGATTTTAGAGAAATAAATGACTCTGGACATGTCAATGAAAATGCACAGAAGGAAGAAATTAAGCAAACATGTGCAAGTTGTAATTGTTGTAAAGTTGTTAGTGATGCATCTTCATGGACGCACCTCAAACATCCACCCAACGCATCTTTTTCTATATTTTATTATTTTATTTTATTTTTCAAAAGGGGACAGAAAACGTGTCATCAGTGCAACTCATACTGTGTGAAAAGAAAAAGTCACTTCTCAATTTCCATTCAATTTGTACTATTATAACTTCAAAGATAAAACTGAGAACAATATTGTTGGTTTTTGTTGTGATGAAATGAGGCGTGTTTGAACGTTAGGAAGTGCTTAAGGACATCTATGCTCAGTGATCTAATCCCAGACAGACAGCAGTTAAGCCGAGACAAATTCAGGTTGATGTGAGAGACGGTGTCACCCTGCTGAACTGCAAATGGCAACAGTTCGTGGAATTAGCTTAGAAAGGCTTCTCTCAGAAAGCAAATTCATCCTACCCAGATACATTATAGTCGCAAGCATCAGTAGGCTACTATTACATATAATTTAATATAATCATAATTTTAATAACATATACTTTTATGAACAAATTAAATTCAAGAGGAGAAGTGTGCTCTATATATTAGGGATTCACTGATGTATCGGCAAATAATCGGTATCGGATGATAAAAGCAGTATCTAGTAAAGCATAAATACAACCCAGCGCTGAGTAAAATATGGACAAACCCAGCTTTTGAGTTGTTTTGACCCAGCGGTTGGGTTACTACCCAGAAGGTTGGGTTAAACATTTCACTCAACCGCTGGGTCAAAACAACCCAATTGCTGGGTTTGTCATATTCAAGAGTCATTTCTTTTTAAGGATCATTGTCTCATGATTGTCATCACAGGAATAAATTACATTTAAAATATATTATAGTTATTTTAAATTATAGTTATTTAAAATTGTTTTTACCGTTTTATATTTGATTCAATAAATGTAACATAAAGAATTCTTTCAGCAACATAACATTTTTTTAAAGGGATAGTTCACCCAAAAATGAAAATTAGTTTATCTGCTTACCCCCAGGACATCCAAGTTGTAGGTGACTTTGTTTCTTCAGCAGAACACAAACGAAGATTTTTAACTCAATCCGTTGCAGTCTGTCAGTCATATAATGGAAGTGAAAAGGAATCATGTCTTTGAGAGTCAAAAAAACATTCACAAACAAAAACAAATGAAACCCTGCGGCTCGTGACGATACATTGATGTGTAAAGACACAAAACGATCGGTCGGTGCAAGAAACTGAACAGTATTTATATCGTTTTTTACCTCTGATTCACCGCGATGTCTGAATGTCCAATCTCTCAAATGGACCATTGGCACTCCTAATTGAGATTGTAGATAGAGTGTCAATGGTCCATTTGAGAGATTGGACATTCAGACATCGCGGTGAATCAGAGGTAAAAAACGATATAAATACTGTTCAGTTTCTTGCACCGACCGATCGTTTTGTGTCTTTACACATCAATGTATCGTCACGAGCCGCAGGGTTTCATTTGTTTTTGTTTGTGAATGTTTTTTTGACTCTCAAAGACATGATTCCTTTTCACTTCCATTATATGACTGACAGACTGCAACGGATTGAGTTAAAAATCTTCGTTTGTGTTCTGCTGAAGAAACAAAGTCACCTACAACTTGGATGTCCTGGGGGTAAGCAGATAAACTAATTTTCATTTTTGGGTGAACTATCCCTTTAAAAAAATGTTATGTTGCTGAAAGAATTCTTTGGGGTAAGCAGATAAACATCACATTTTCATTTTTGGGTGAACTATCCCTTTAACCATTCCAAACTAAATATGACCAAATTTAACACATGGTAGAACTGGATGATGTTTAAGCCGGTGTTACCATATTCTAAACATTAGCTCTTATTGTTGTTGTTGTTGTTGATGATGTTGTTTTCATCTGAAAAGCTCTTTTTGTGGGGTTTTTTTTGTAACCAGGCAAAAATCTATTTCTCCTTCCCTGGTGAGCTGCTCATGCGGATACTTAAAATGTTGATTCTTCCCCTAATTACCTCCAGGTGAAGATTTGATTTTCATCTTTATATACAAAAAAAACATTTATCCTACATAAAGAGTGTGAAGATCTCAACTCTTACTGTCTGCCTGTAGTTTAATGTCTGGACTGTCATCTATGGAGTCGAAGGCCTGCTGCAGGATGGGGGTGCTGACGGTCACTTACTACCTTTGGACCACGTTCATCGCAGTAGTTGTTGGCATACATTTATCCTACATAAAGAGTGTGAAGATCTCAACTCTTACTGTCTGCCTGTAGTTTAATGTCTGGGCTGTCATCTATGGAGTCGAAGGCCTGCTGCAGGATGGGGGTGCTGACGGTCACTTACTACCTTTGGACCACGTTCATCGCAGTAGTTGTTGGCATTGTACTCGTTCTCATCATCAAACCTGGCTATGGGACACACTTGGAGAGCAGCAGACTGGGAGGTGGACAAGTCATAACGTCTGCAGATGCCCTGCTGGATCTGGTCAGGTATGACTGTCCCAAACATTTGTAGCAACAGCACCCTTGTAGTTCCTGAACTAATATTCATATCAGCCAAGCAGATTTTAGGAGTAGACCTAGATATGGGGTTAAAGGCTCCTTATCAACCTATTTCCATCTGATTTTAAGGGTCATTAATGGTTTATGGTTCAATGGTTTCAGGACTGCTGATCCAGGAATATGTACTACTTGGAAAATAAATGGGAAAGTTCACCCAAACATGACAGTTCTATTCTCAAATTTTCACCTGCATGACTTTTTTTCCGTGACATAGAAAGAGAATGTTTTTTCATGCATTTACAAAGCATGGGGACCAGAGCATTCAGGATTCAAAAATTACACAAAAAAGCACAAAAGTATCCTTATAGGAGTTCTAATTATTTGTGCATAGTATATATGCCTTCTGAAGCAATTTGATGGCTTTGTGTGAGGAACCCAATCAAATTCACCCTAGCGTTCCTTAGCATGTTCATGATTTGTGACTGTGAATTGTTCTTTGATCTTTTCAGTTAATCAGTTGATCCGGTTCATAAAATCAGTCTTAATGAACTTCAACAGTATGTTCTTCACACAAGCTACTGTATTGCTTCAGAAGAATATATTATGAGTTTGTGGTACATTAAAAATTACATCACATGGACCATTTTTAAGGTGTTTTTACACAGAAGAAATACATGCTGAATGGCACGAGGTTGAGCAAATGATTATAGTATTTAAATTTTTTGGTGAACTTCCCATTTACTATCAGCTTTTTATTACTAAAAACAATAAGCTTTTCAGGTAAATTTCTCCTCATTTTGATTGACGTTCATAAAAGACAGTAAATGATTCTCATGGACACTGTAACTGCCATTCATTGGAAGAGTTGCCCATGTCTGTGGATTTTAGGCCATCCCATACAGTGCAATCCTATTAAAGCAGTGATTAGGGTATTTTTAGTAATCTGCACAAAGCGCCAAGTAAGAAGTGCAGGACCCTCCCACTCCCCTCTGCCCATAAACACAGCGAGTCTTGTGCAGCTATACTTGATAATAGCTAACTTCAAGTGTTCAAGTCTGCAGGGTGTATGTCATGTCATATAAAGTATAAATGTGGTGTACTATATATTCATAAAAACACAATTAATGAATAGGCATCATATGCTTTAAATATGGCCAGTTGCTCTATATTTTTCAACTTATACTTAATTTCCATCCTCAGGAATATGATCCCCTCCAATCTCATTGAAGCCACATTTCAGCAGGTGAGTAATGTGTTTGTACTATGAGCATGAATAATACTAAAGTCCCTTCCAAGGCAAGTCAGTTCCCTTGGCAGCCATATTTGGAATGTTTAATTCTGTTGCTGATTTGAAGTCTATCTATCTATCTATCTATCTATCTATCTATCTATCTATCTATCTATCTATCTATCTATCTATCTATCTATCTATCTATCTATCTATCTATCTATCTATCTATCTATCTATCTATCTACAAATATTTAACTGTTCTCATAGTGGACTCGATTACGTCATTTGCGGCGCTTCATGGGAGTGGGTGGGGCTAAAGAACACTTTTGGTGATTGGTGGAATTTTCTGTACAGCATCATGGGTAATGTAGTTTTTCACCACAAATTCTGCTATTAGATATGATTATTTTAAAAAGAAGTTCATTTGAATGGATGGCTTCAACAAAAGCATATGCAATCGATTAATAGCCTCAGAGCTTACAACAGGTCTGTCCTTAAAGATTTACCAGTTGTAGTTAAAAATCAATTTCTCTATAGAGTTTTTACTTTCGGAACCCAACTGATTCAACTCTATTGCACTGCACTTTCTCCCATTCATAATAATATGGGTAAACTATTTTGTGGATAAATATACGCATGCTCAGATGATACCTCAAATCATGCAGCTGATTGTGGACTTTCACCTGGTGGACGATAAAATCCATTAGATTTGCACCAGGATATCATAGAGATTTGGGCTTTATGGACTTGGGCCAGTAAATAATTACCTAGCATCCACATAACAATGTACTAAAACACATTGAAATTCCATTCATAACCACCTAGAATACTAACAACACTGGTTGTAACAACAAGGTTTGAACAAGCAAAGAAAACGTAAAACCTACTTCTATATTTTGTTGTTTCAGTACAAGACAGACATTATTCCAATCATAAAAACACTAGTGAACACAGGACGCCCAAATTTGGTCTACCTGATACCTGATGAAGACAATCCAAAGGGTCGGACGGTGCAGTTGGAACTAACGCCACCTCCAGACATCGAGTACAAGAACCGTCCAGGCAGCAGTCAGCAGATGAACGTACTCGGCATTGTTATTTTCTCAGCCACGATGGGTAAAACATCTGCCTTCACCTAATAAAGCATCTTCACTAAGTGAAATCACGATCAAATGTGCAACTATAATGAAGGGCTTTTCATTTAGGTCTCTTGCTTGGTAAAATGGGCGAACGGGGAGCCCCTCTGGTGAACGTTTGCCAGTGCATCAATGAGTGTGTGATGAAGATTATTAATGCGGCCGTATGGTAAGAGAGAAAGCACTCATTCATACTCAGACATCTGGCAATCAAAACAATCATTCAGTTTACGGTTTTTAAAGGAGCAGTTCCATACAAAGACTGTTTTTGTAGTTGAAATTAAGATCAGGAAGTTGTTTGTACACAATACTTGGCCAGGATTGGCCATTGAGAAGCTTGAGGGCTCAGATACTATTAGCTGAGGATCTGAGTGAAGGTTTCCAGCATGCAGCTGGCACGTGCTGTGCATAACGGCTGCCAGCGTGAAGGTGTGTTAAAGCCACACTGTCGTTCGGCACAATCCAGGTGGATTATGGATCACCTGCGCTTAAGAGCTGTCTCACACTTCTCCATGATGCTGGCTAGTATGGGGCTGTCACACACGTCACAAAATATTTAGGCCTAAATTTAAGATTTATCCCATTTGAATTGCATACAACATTTCCATCTATTTGAATTACACAGTTTTAATATTAACTAATCAATGAAACGGGCATGATTTCTGCACTCAAAAAATCTTGATCATATTTTCAAAATGCATTTATTCAAATTGCAAAAATAATTGAAATGATTCAGTTCAAAAGTATGAACATGGTTAAAATATGGCTAGCTGTGGAACAAGCAATATTCAGTTGTATGAGAAATGTATTGCTGATAAATATTTATACCTGGTTACTGTGTATTTAAAATACATTTATTAGTAGGTACCATTACAGAAATCTTAACTGTTTCACGTATGACTGACTGACAGATGTATTAGTTAGGTTAACATTGTGTAATCTAAACAGATGGCAATTTTTATATGCAACGTAAAGCTTATATTTAGGCCTAAATATTCAGGGCACACAATTTCTAGAATTTGACTCCAAATCATTGACTGAAATCAAAATGGACCCTATTTACTCCCTTAAAGGGTTAGTTCACCCAAAAATAAAAATTAGCCCATGATTTACTCACCTCAAGGCATCCTAGGTGTATATGACTTTCTTCTTTCAGACGAATCCAGTCAGAGTTATATTAAAAAAATGTCTTTGATCTTCCAAGCTTTACAATGGCACTCAGCAGGTGTTACATTTCATCAGTCCAAAAGAAGTGAAATTAAGCGCATACATCCATAGAAAAACGTGCCTCACACGGCTCCGGGGGGTGAATGAAAGCCTTCTGTAGCAAATCCATGCATTGTTGTACTAAAAATATACATATTAAAAAACTTAAACACTTTTCTGTCACTTCCTGTAACTGTCGTACGCACGTTCATTCCGGGCGGATGACGTATGACTTATGGGTAGCGCATGCGCCGGTGAGAAGTGACGAACATGGAAGCAGAGAGGAGAGAACAGAACAAAACAAAACAAAACACCAGTCACAAATTAGAAGTACAAAAAGAGGATTTGTAAAGAAAAATGTCAGAGGATTTCGATATAAGCCAAGAGGAGACTAGTTTTCCTTTGCTAAAGTAAGGAAACTTTGTTTCCTTTGCTCCTGTAAACAAACGTTGGTTTTCGCGAGATACGTTATCCTCCTGGACCTGCTTCCGCGTACGACAGTTAGCGCAAGCTACAGAAAAGTGGTTATAACGTTTTAAATATGGATATGTTTCTTACAAGAAAGCATCGATTCGCTTCAGGACACCTTTGTTCACCCCCCCCCCAGAGCCGTGTGAGGCACGTTTTTCTATGGATGTATGCGCTTAATTTCACTTCTTTTGGACTGATGCATTGCAACACCCACTAAATGCCATTCTAAAGCTTGGGAGATCAAATACATTTTTTTAAATATAACTCTGACTGGATTCATCTGAAAGAAGAAAGACATATACACCTAGGATGCCTTGAGGGTGAGCAATTCATGGGCTAATTTTCATTTTTGGGAGAACTAACCCTTTAATACATATACTTTCTTAATGTAAACAATTCAACACTGCATGTTATTCAAAGAACAAAATGTTTAGTAATAACTAAATTATAATAATGATAATAAAGCACTGTTTTAATTAATACCTTTTTTTCAAGTCTCAGTGGACAAACAGTACCCTCCTGCATTTTTTTTGCATTGAATTTTCTCTACTCGAAATGCATCACATTAAAGCAGTAAAATAAGTTGAGTTTTCATGTTGAGTTTAATAGTTAGTCATATTTTATCCAAAAATGTAAATTCTGTAATTTACTTACTCTTACGTAGTCCCAAATCTGTTTGACTTTCTACAGAACAGAAAAGATATTTTGAAGAATTATTGAACCATATGATAAATGTCCATCGAATCAAAGTGTTCCTCAAAAAAAAAAAAAAAAAAAAAAAGGTTTGGATTGACATGAGGGTTAGTAAACTATGACAAAATAGCAAATTAAATGACAGGACAGCAATTTTTCATGTTGACTGTTGAAGATAAAGTCATCACATTTTGAGAATCATATGAGTAATTCCTACCAGCTTCTCTGTGTTTTTCAACAGGTATTTTCCTTTTGGGATCATCTTCCTTGTGGCTGGCAAAATCCTAGATATGAGTGATCCCTCCACACTTGGGAAGAAGCTGGGCTGGTACGGGATGACGGTCATGGCAGGCCTTTTTGTGCACGGCCTCATCGTGCTTCCATTCTTCTATTTCATTCTGACACGGAAAAATCCTTTCACATACATCAGAGGGCTTCTGCAAGCCATGGTCATCGCTCTCGCCACATCATCCAGGTATGAAGAACTAGGGCCCTATGAAATCAGTTAGATTTTTTCCCCCCAAATTTCATTAAATTTTTCTGGAATCTGTTTTTTTTTTCCAGTTTAAAATTTTCTATACTCCGTTTTAATGGCTATATTATTTTTTTTTAATCCAAAAGCATGTCTAATTAATATAAATCATGAAACGTACACAATTTAACAGCAATTTATTAAAAGTTTAACAAAAAAATAAATTTTTAATGCCCTATGAAATGTTTTAGTTTTCTTCTCAAATTTAGTTTTATTTGACCAAACTCTGTGTTTTTCATTACTTTTCTGGATTAAATTTGACTGGTTTCATTAAATTGTAATAAATCAAAAGCATCTTCAATTAATTGATTTTATTAAAAAATATTAATATATTTAAAAAAAAAAATTTTTTTAAATACTGTGTATTTACAGTTTTCTGCTAAGTAAATTCTGGTAAATATTTTTTTCTGGTAAATATTCCTTTAAAAAATTGTTTTGATGATAATTTTATGAGTAGTAGCAGTACTATCATTACATTAAGTGATTTCTGTCACAGTTTCTTCAAGTTAACCCCAGCTTTAATTTTGACGGGTTGCCGTGAAGACCTTTAAGTTTCTGTTTGTAGCGATATGACGATGTTTTTCTCAAATGAAACAGTAAAATGCTCCTGAAGTGACTCTCAGAGCAGTTCTCACCATTCACACAGAGACACGCAGAACATGCAGGATTCATATTTAAATAGTCTTTTTGTGGCTTAATATTCACAGACACTAGTCCATATCACGTTTTGATTTGTGTGCTGAACCTACTTTTGGTTTTGCAAATTCTGAGACATTCCGCATTATACAGTAAAGGATTCTGCAATTCGGTCTGCATTTTCCACATCGTGGAAACCATAGGGCCTTAGATGAACTCCAAAAAAAACAATTGTGTATGTGGCTTATCCTAACTCCATTAAATGAAGTAGAAACGTGAGTTGAACTCATGACCTTGTAAACATGAGATATTCTCTCTTTTTCACAGTTCAGCAACACTGCCCATTACAATGAAATGTTTGCTGGAGAACTGCCGAGTGGCCCCCCCCCTGCTTTTGTTGCCTCTGATGCTGGAGGTACAGCAGTTATTGCATGCTGGCATGCATTCAGGAATTTTGCCATTCCGGTTCAGGCTGATGTTACGGTCAAAACATGATCCAGATCTGCAGTGACCTCATTCAACAACTTCCTGAAGGGAATGGGGAAGGAACCTGAGTGGCATGTTAAAATGCACAGTCGAAAGCCAATTATCTGGCATCACGTGCAACTACACGAGTGACTGATTTGCAAATATTTCTTGTTTTTTTTACATTGTATAAAAATTTTATACTCCACAAGTTTAATTTAGTTAAAGTCTGTCTCCTCTCTGTTCAACTAAAACATGACAACTCCTCATAATATAAAACATGTAATGTAGTGTGGAAAGTTTGTCAAATATAATCAGCAAATAAAAGCAGATTAATTTGTCAACATTAACCCATTATGAACACACAAACATTAAGCTAACTGGGGCAGTCTTTTTTACCATCAACTAGAAATATTTAGAATAATAATGAAAGTAACAAAACATTTTTACGGCAAAACAATGGCATTTATTTGAATGAAACATCCTGCTACAGGACCTCAAGTCACACTACCACTAAAGACCCGAAGCATGATGTGTACAATTACTGAACTCAGTCCTACCAAATGAACATGCAAACAAGTATAGTGCTGGTCTGCAAACCAGATGTGTGCTAGTAATGTGTGAGAACAATTAAATACAATTCTTCACCTTTGTGTGGCTTTACATGACTTGACGTCTCAAAAAGCAGATTGAAATTTCACACGTTCACATTAAAATGTACAAAGCTGTATTTAGGATCGACTAAGTAGAGAGTAAAACACTACATTAAAATGCATTATTCCTGTTAATTCGGCAAGCAAATGTGTAACTGAAAACTGATCTAACCAAATCTAGACTGACAGCTTGCAGCCAAGTGCCTACAACCCTGCTTCCAATTTATCCACGTGGTGAGTGAATTCAACGCTGGTTAAATAAAATCATGTAAAACCAAATGATAAAAAAATGGCTTTTCAACCATCTTCCAAATAAAATCAGACAAGAAAAGAAATATGTGGTTAAATGCAAAACAAACTTTAATATCAAAATGAAAAAAAAAAAAAAAAAGATTAAAAAAAATAAAGCAAACTGCAGTGGGCAAATAAAATACAAAACAATGTCAATACTTGCGGTTTTAGATTTTAATTTCCAAACAGGAAAACTAAAACACTTAAAGGCATACACTTTACACTCCAAGTTCTTTGGTCCTTCCAACGTTCTTTTACCTTACAGATAGGTGAGCTGGAGCACTGACGAATTGGACTAGTCACTATTTACAAAGGTCTAGAAGAGGTGTGGATGTGTAGTTTTTACTGACAAAGCTAAAAGCTTTCACACTATAATACAGCGGTGGCGAACTCCGGTCCTGGAGAGCCGCAGCCCTGCAGAGCTCAGCTCCAACCCTAATTAAAACACACCTGCCTGTTGCTTTCTAGTAACCCTTCAGACCTTGATTAGCTTGTTCAGGTGTGTTTGATTAGGGTTGAAGCAAAACTCTGCAGGGCTGCGGCTCTCCAGGACCGACGTTCGCCACCCCTGTTATAATATAATGAAGAAAACGGGACCATTAAGTCCAGTGTGAGGAAGGGAAAGAGCAACAATGCCATGGTATCTTTAAAGCATCGTAACAGTGTTTGCGCAAAAAATCCCCAAAAAACTATATAAAAAAAAAATTATCGTCCGATTTATATCTGAAATTTTTTCATTGTCCAGGGTTTTACAAATGCCAGGCATCAGGGACAAAACCAATAATGCAACATTCTAGTTTTTGCTCAACCCCAGAGAGCACAAACTTGTTTCACCCCCAACACAGATGTATGAATTATGTTTATGCAGACACAGTCAACAATAACTGCAATCTTTAGAACAAACAGCAATTAACTTTCAGATTCTTTTATGACAGAAAAAACTATATAAAAAAAAAAAATTATCGTCCGATTTATATCTGAAATTTTTTCATTGTCCAGGGTTTTACAAATGCCAGGCATCAAGGACAAAACCAATAATGCAACATTCTAGTTTTTGCTCAACCCCAGAGAGCACAAACTTGTTTCACCCCCAACACAGATGTATGAATTATGTTTATGCAGACACAGTCAACAATAACTGCAATCTTTAGAACAAACAGCAATTAACTTTCAGATTCTTTTATGACAGAAAAAAAAAAATAGTCCCTTTACTTGTGAGACTTGCTGGTTTTGAACGACACTTGCAGGACTCGGTCTCCCATGCGGTATCCATTCAGGCTGGCGATGGCCATTGCGGCCTCTTCGTAATTTGTCATGGTAACAAACCCAAACCCTTTGCATTTGTTGGTGTTAAAGTCACGGATGACCTTGACATTGGTGACAGCACCGAACGGACCAAACATCTGCCACAGGAAGCCTTCGTCTGCATCCTGACCCAAGTTGTAGATGAAGATACACCATCCAGAGGAAGAGCTACCGGACACGTTCACCCCGGAGGCGCCGCTCATGTGGTCAACACTCATGGGTGAAAACCTGCCAGAGCAAGAGATCAATCAGTCAAGTCACCTTCATTTCTATAACCAGGGGTTAAAGCAAAAGAAAAAAAAAAAAATCCTGAGCCTTTTTCCCAGGGGCAGTACAACACATGCAAAGCATGCAATGACTGTGGCAACTTTAACATTTGAAAGGATACTATGGCAAAGTTATTACTTTATTTATTCAAACTGATTTTTTTTTCATGAATATATGGTTGACCTGAAGAATGAAAGCTATATCATACACTTGGAAAATTATGAGCTATATCACCACTTATCGACACTAGGGGTGTGACAATACACTTAGCTCACGAGATGAGACAAAATACAGATACTTGGTTCACTAGAACAAGACAATATTTTAATACTATTTTAAAGAAATCAATGACAAATTTCACAGAATTTCAATGGCAAAATGTTTGTCTTTTAATTACAAAAAGTAAAAATGCAGTTGTATTTAGAAATATTTGAACTAATCTAGGGCTGTAACTAATGATTATTTTGGTAATCAAGTAATCTACTGATTATTTTGACAACTGAGTAATCTGATATTTTTTAGTAACAAACAGACCCAAGTGAAAACTAGGCTTTAGTATGACTATTTATATATAAACTAACGATGAGGCAATAATAATTGGCTCAAATAAAGTATCAAAACCAAGAAATTACATGATTGTATTGAACACTGTTAAAATACATAATGTAATATGCCTATACATAATATGAACATAACCAACTTAAGTACATTATGTATTATTACAAATACCCACAGAGGGCGCCAACGGCCTGGTGACGTTTCACTTTAGTTTACAGCGTGATTAGATGTTTAAATCCATTTAATTTTAATATTTGGCCAAACGCAGAAACTTTTATTTTGAAATCGTGATGTACAATACATGGCATATTTAGAAATAGGTTGATGTTTTCTCCTGTGTTGGCAAAGTTTTATAAATGATTTACATTACAAATCTAGTTAGATAATGCACTGTTTTTCCAGATGAACGTTAATTCAAATTCATGACATATGCAGAAGAAGGGTTTAGCCCCTTTCACACATACAGTACTGGTAAATTACCAGTAAGTTACCATTAATAGATCATGTGTTTTTTTCTTCAAAAATCCCGGTAAATTTGTTCTGGCAATCATATCGTTTTATGGAGATGACATGATTACTCTGAGCCGTTTACAAAGCTCCGCTGTTTTTAATGAGTTATTCTATGTAAATATGCGCTAGATGGACATCTTTGACCATTGCGCCTCGCAGCTTTTGGTCGCGCTTCTCCGTTCATCAGGGCTGTGACTCCGCAATTGGATACTATTATGCTCGTCTCGTATTTATAAGAGCAAAACATTCTTATTGGCTAGTAATGTTAGTTTGGTTGAGAGTGAAAGCTGTGCTCCTCTCATACCATTGGTAGGCGAGCTCATGGACTCGAAAGTGATGTCAATCAACAAGATTTTTTTTTTTTTTTTAAATGTAGGACTATTTTTTTCCGCAGCCAAATGCTGCATGCTTGCGATTATTTGCTGCAACTACATCTGAGAGCAAACCATGCGAGTTGACGTTGTCTTGATTTGTGCTGTGCGAGAACAATAATTGAGGAAACGTATTACACTTCTCTTACAAGCAGCAAACAATCTGATGCAACAACTACAACATACTGATTAATGGACAACATTAAAACTACAGGAAGCATATTTGGCTTTCTCACCTGAAGCGCTGCGCCTGGTGATGAACAGGTCCTCCAAACCGACGGGATTGAGTGGGGTACAGCTGAGAGATCAGCTGGGAATTCTTGGTCTGGTTTGGACTGGCAGCAAACTTCACTGTGATTGGTTCAGAGGCACCAGCTGGTTTGGATCCATTAAGATCCTTGATGGCTTCCTCCGCTTCAGACCTCTTATCGAAACGGATGAATGCAACTCCACGAGACAGACCTAACAGGTAAGAAAGCCCCCCAAAAATGAGTTGAGACCCAGAATACATTCAAGAAGGAAAATTGCAGTGTGCAGGACAGAATTATTACCCGAGGCCTGATCGACCAGTATGCGGGAGTTTATGATATGCCCGTACTGGGTAAACATGTCCTCTACATCCTTCTGTGCCATGGTCTTGGGTAAACCACTGATGTACAGGTTGGCATCTTTGATGCTGTCAGAGCTCGGCCTGGCATATGACACCTAATTTAATGGAAAAAATATTGCATTAAAAACCACTTCATTAAGACCTTATTAAACAAAAATATTAAGCCATCATGTTTGCCCCCATTACTGATGAAACAATATAGTTCCACTGTGTAGACAAAGCATAACCTCACATCTGAGTTTCACATATGAAATCAAATGTAAAAACAAAAATAAAACCCAAACAAAAACACTACAATGATATGGTGTACTTCTTATAGGTATAAAGCCGTTTTTATAGTCTATATCTACAACAAAAACGGTCAACTTTCAATTTGAATTAAAACTACAACGCTCAAAAGTAAAAAAAAAACAAAAACAAGAAAATTAAAAAAAAAAAGTCTGGGACTTCAGCGCAGGGCTTCTGTTCGGCACAATTTCATACTCAAGCAAATGACTAACATTTACCCCTCCGTTTTTACACCACAACCACGCAGGAGAAATGAAAATAGCATATTTGGATCTTAAAAGGAACTCCAAAATAAAAATGTCACTGACTTCAGTATAATTCTGTACCGAAATTAAACCATGCTTAGTCAAAGACAGCCAATCATACAGATTATAAGAGCAAAAATCTTGAGACATCAAATGTCACGAAAAAGAAAATCATACAAAAGGAAAAAAGAAAGAAAGAAAATGGAACAATTGTTGAAACTCATGAAGTTGTTCATTCCTTACAGAAAGCAGGCAGGACTGGAACGCTGTCCTAACTGCTTTGAGTCTCGTTTACCAATATGGCATCTATAATTTAACACATGGATACAAAAACACCTCTTTGCACGTTACCTTGATAGTTTTAGACTGTAGTCTCAGGCCATTGAGTGTATTGATTGCCCTTTCTGCATCATTAGGGTTAACATAGTTAACAAATCCGTACCCTAAACTGTGGCCTAGAGAAAACAAAAGGGAAAACAAACAAAATAAAAATAACAAACGTTGGTCCACATCCTGCAGACTATTCTCTCTGCACAAAAGAAACTAATGCAAGCTGTTCTTGTGAATGACAATTGCAAAACAAAATAGTTACATGTTCTTCAAAAACAAAGTTTGACATCAGGCAAGAAAACGGTTAGGATACAGAAATCTAATCCAAACATCAAAAACAGTCTTCATAAAATAGTTTCTAGGAAAAAAAACAAATACCTTCCTTCACCTCCTTAAAAATAAAAACAAAAACATTAGTAGGCATTTATAAAAAGTTTAAGTAAATAAAATACAACATACATTCAACATTATAACTATACATCATATGTGACCCTGGAGCACAAAAGCAGTCTGAAGTCGCTGGGGGATATTTGTAGCAATAGCCAAAAATACATCGTGGGGGTCAAAATTATTGATTTTTCTTTTATGCCAAAAATCATTAAGATATTAAATAAAGATCATGTTCCATGAAGATATTTTGTAAATGTCCTACTGTAAATATATCAACACTTAATTTTTGATTAGTAATATGCCTTGCTAAGAACTTCATTTGGACGACCTTAAAGGCGATTTTTTTTTATATTTAGATTTTTTTGCACCCTCAGAATCCAGATTTTCAAATATTTGTATCTCGGCCAAATATTGTCCTATTCTAACAAACCATACATCAACGGAAAGCTTACTTTTTCAGCTTTCAGATGTATAAATCTCAAATTCAAGAAAAAAAGAAAAAAAAAAGACCCTTATGACTGGTTTTGTGGTCCAGGGTCAAATATTTCTAAGTACAATAAATTCCATAGACAGTGGGATGCTTTGGGCAAGAAAAAAGAACAAAAAAAAAGACTATCAAACAAAGCTAATGGCATAGATGCATGAAGATGGCACCAGACTGACATCAATAGGCCTCTCTCCAGGTACTCCACAATACAACTGGAAATTGATAATTGTCCTCAAAAACATAGGAAACAATAGGAAAACAAAAACACAACAACCCAAAGAATAAAGCACATTTGCTTATACACTTTGCACAGAACAAGACAGGATGCCCACACCATTAGAAAAATAAAAAAATATTTTTTTTCCTTCAAAATGTCAAATGAGTTTTTGCAATCCCCCCCCACCAAGAAAACATTTACAGAAAAACAAATGTGCTTGGCTTCAAAGTCAAATCAAAACTTGGCACATTGTGGGAGGACTCCAAGTCTAATCAAAAGCTCAATGATATTGAATCGGACCAGTACCATCTTTACACCTTTTCAAGTAGACAGGGGGGGGGGAGATAAACCAAATGAAAATTTGTGAGCAAAATGTTTATTGGAGCATAAAACATACCACAGTGGACAGTGAAATGCTGCCACAAATCTGACCCAAGCTTCAATAAACTGGTCAAAAGAAAGCAAAGGTTTGCTTTAAAATAAAAAACAGAACAAAAAAAACAAACCAGTACTTTAAAATACTGAAAACTAAGTGCATTCCCTGTAAAACTTGTAACTTAAAAAAAAAAAAAGGAAAAAAAAAATTCAGAAAAAATCTTATTGGAAACAGACAAGAAGTTATGAAAACAAACAGCCTCTTTCTTCATGTATCACAAGCACAGAAGAGAAAGACACTGGCTCACTGTGTTGAGACGTACCTGCCATCTTGTCTCTTATGAGTTTGGCCGACTCCACCTCGCCAATGCTGCTGAAGAGACTCCGAAGCTCCTCCTGACTCATGTTCTGGGGCAAGTAGTTGATGATCAGGTTGGTTTTCGCATCACTCGGCTCATCGCCCATTTGGTCCTCGTAACCGTTCGGCATGTCGTATACTTCCTGCTTGAGAAAAGATTATGCATTGTGACCAAACCAAGAAGAATTACACTGGCAGACTAAAACCTAAAAAAAATAAAAAATTCCAAGTAGCATGACCAACAACAGCCGACATTAGTCTACACACAAAAATAATGGCCAATTTTACCTTTACTGAGTTGCCACTCTTGTGTGAGTCTCTGTCATTACCCTGGTTCTGAACCTCACAAACCTGCAGCAACAAATCAGTTGCAACATGATATAAATATATACCTAACAACACCATGCAATATATAGCTATTTGTACTTTTGTTTAGGTGCTAACTGTAATTCCTGGCCTTTATACTTGTACTATGCACAAAAATATAGCAATTGTTGAAACTTATAATCAAATAATGAAACGTGATTTTTTTTTCTTTTACAGAAACCAAAATGTAAATTTTCATTTGGCTGTAAACCAATAAAGCTGTGTTAGTTAAATTTGGGCAATTTTACCACCTTGAGATATTTTAGCTGAATGTGTTTTTCTACTTTTTAGTTTTGGTCATGGTGAAGTGCATCTACACAGCTAACGTTTGGCTGTACATTATTCACTTTGTGGATAAAACACATGCTAAAACTGTCCAAATACACCAGAGAAGCACTAATAAATACCAGTTTCAGTCAATAACTTCAGCCCTCCAAATTTATTTCGGCCATAACCAAGTTTTTTTGTAGCTGCAGATGATTGATTTCTCTTACTAAAATGCCTGTGCATAACCACTTGAAACTAGTCTCTGAAATTCTTCCCAATTGTCAATAAAATAAGTGCATAAACAAAACCACAGGTAGCTCAATAGGCAACATATATACCTTAACATATTGAATTGTTATAAGGTAACTCACCATTTCACTGCAGAAATTAATGTAGAAGTAGATTGTAAATACTTACTTTTAAATACCTTATGTGTCCTCTTCTGACGGCCATGTAGACACCTTACAGCTTCAAAATCTTAGTCTGAAAAAGAAAAGAAGAAATTGTAAACAGGCTTGCAGTAACAGATACACATTTTCTATTAGAGAGCAAGACAAAACCCTGCATCGTTACGAACCGTACCGTTACATCCATCGGTTTAGACCATTTTATTTTTTAACATTGTTTGCACTAGTGTAGGAACAAAAAATCACTGAAGTCTACCACTTACAATGGAATAAACGTTTAGTCGTCGACTTATTTCCTCTACAACCAAAAACACACGCATAACAATTAAGAGTAGCTAAATGTATGCTAGGCTAGGCTAACCAAACTAAGCTAGGCTGCACGAATAGCGCGAACAAACACATATTAACAACATCGCAATAGTATCACTACCTACACATAGAGTGGTTACATTATTACATAAACTCATTTAGCAAATTATAATGACACTTTCAACGCTTCAGGCCGCTCTTTTGAGGCCTGTTCGCCAGTATCGAAGCTACCGGTGAGTGCAGTCCGCACATTTAAAAAAAATAAAATCACATATTATAAAAAGAATGACAATTTTCAAGCACAAATAATATATATTTATACCTCCGTTTCCTTTGTCCTCGACCGTCGTTGTAGTAGAGCGAGTCACAAATCGTGAAGAGAACAAAGCGGAGATCTCGAGATCTGCTCTACCTACTTCGCACGCGCGATCTCAACCCAAGAAGGGGGTGCGCTCGGGTGTCTCGCGCCAAAGCGGAAGGGAAGCCACGCCTCAAACAATTAAGAGTAGCTAAATGTATGCTAGGCTAGGCTAACCAAACTAAGCTAGGCTGCACGAATAGCGCGAACAAACACATATTAACAACATCGCAATAGTATCACTACCTACACATAGAGTGGTTACATTATTACATAAACTCATTTAGCAAATTATAATGATACTTTCAACGCTTCAGGCCGCTCTTTTGAGGCCTGTTCGCCAGTATCGAAGCTACCGGTGAGTGCAGTCCGCACATTTAAAAAAAATAAAATCACATATTATAAAAAGAATGACAATTTTCAAGCACAAATAATATATATTTATACCTCCGTTTCCTTTGTCCTCGACCGTCGTTGTAGTAGAGCGAGTCACAAATCGTGAAGAGAACAAAGCGGAGATCTCGAGATCTGCTCTACCTACTTCGCACGCGCGATCTCAACCCAAGAAGGGGGTGCGCTCGGGTGTCTCGCGCCAAAGCGGAAGGGAAGCCACGCCTCCTCCCGTCTGGAGGAAGAGATGCTGCGGAATCACACCCCCTGATCTTTTTGAAGCACTGCCATGTTTATATATATATATATGTGTGTGTGTGTGTGTGTGTGTGTGTGTGTGTGTCACAAGTTTTGGTCATAAAAAATAGTATAATTTTTAGAATAAAATAGTTTAATTTTAAATTAGTATAATATATATATTATACTAATGTAAAATTAAACAATTTTATTATATACATTTTATAATATAAAAGTACAAAAGTACACACTCAGAAGTAACATCAGTTGAACCATTATTATAGCATGTCAGGAAAAAGTAAATAATGTGCATTGTTGTTTTTTTTCTTATACTGGCTTATAGATTCAGTGTCTTTACTTTTTTATGCTGCCAATTACAGAAATAATATTAAAAACATTCTGGTCAATACATAGACTTAAGCAGAAAACCAACAGAAAATTTCGCTATGCGGCTTCAAATATTGATCGATGTGTACTATAGCAAAAATTGACGCGGTCAGCATGAGCTACCAAAAAGCATATAAACTCCAAAAAGTAGAAAGCATCTGATAGCACAATTTATTAATCTTGGAAACATGGAAACTTCTGCTCAAACATAAATAGCATCTACACCGGCTTGCAGCTGAACACAGAATTCTGTGATTTAGCTTAACTGCAAAATAGTAATATTATTCATACATAACCATAATGTTCCAGTGATGTCTAATTAGGCTACTGTTTATGTCAGCAGTATGTACAAAGCATTCTTGTTTGGCAAAGATCGAAATCAAGTAGAATGACAGAAGCAACTATATTATATACCGAAACATTTCACAATGCTGTTACATGTTCATAGAGGCAGATGAATTTAGCCTACATAAAGTTCACAAAAAACAGCCCTTCGACATTCAACATTGAAAAAATATTCTTCCATGCCTTCTATCCTAAGAGTAGATCTCTACAGAATTTCCTATTTGAGAAGTTGGAAGCCCCTGTACAGTAGAAGAGGTAGACAGTGTGGCTGAAGCGTACTAGCTGTATTAATTCCACCTCATAGAGAAGATTTCTTATAGTTCAGTGGCAGTTTAGGTGCGATTTTCAGCAAAACCTTCCCAGGTCTTGATGAGAGAAGAAGGGGGTGGTAACCCTGAATGACATCAATTCGATTTGATGGGCGATAAACCGCCAAAGATGAGCCGGGAAAAACATAATCCGTGACTGTGGCATTACATCATATCTTAGAGCTTTTACAAACCATCGGAGCATTTTTTTGTAATGTGCTAATACAAAAAGTCTGAATTAAAACAGGGGAAAGACATATAAAGATACATTTTATATATATATATATATATATATATATATATATATATATATATATATATATATATTCATTTATGAATAGTGTATGCAATACAATTTTTAGGGTCTTTTAGCAATCATTCTTAAACAAATATATACTATCACAACATCACAGATACATGATCCTCACTACCTTTAGAGAGAGAATAGGATTGTGTGAACAGTTGCATATGATAGAAATAGAAGAAAGAGCAAAATGAATTTCAGTTTAGATGAGAGACAATCTTATTGTTCACTGTGCCGCTAACCTAAAGTTGCCACGAAAGCTACATGCCTCCATATGAAGAGCTCATCATACGTCAGTCCAGTATCAAAAAATCCCATGGCAAAAATGGAAGAGGAGAAGAGGAAATTCTCAGTGTGTTGTCAAAGCATCGTTTTTGTCTTCCTTTGTCTTCCACGTGAATCCAGATCTATAGATCATCCAGGCTACTGACATTCTGCCATGCTTCCGCCTGCCTCCACACTCATGGTGAAGCCATTACTGAGGTTCTTGGGACTGGGTGGGGTGGTGCTCGCTGGCGAAGGCTCATGTTTGCCTCCAGGATCCACTGAGCAGCTCTTCTTGGGAACCCTGGGCCGAACCACTGGAGCCTTTGGAAGGACGGAGGTCTGCCTGTGTCCCTCTGCTATCAGGGGTGGGCGAGTGGGCATGGGCCCGGGGGGGCCAGAAGGTTTAGATTTATGGGTAGGGTGGACGGGGGGACTCGAGGGACTCTTGGCCCTGTCTTCAACCTGCTCAGATCCCTCTTTAATGGGAATGGGCTCTCTTTGAGAATCCAGCGTGTTGTCCTTCTGTATGCTGCTCTGGCGTGAGGTCTTGTCGGCATTGGGCATCTCGCAGCTGTCTGTCCGCCGTCGTGAGCCCTCGTGCATCCGGCTTGTGGCGACCACAGCTTTCATAGCAGCCTGTGGACAGAATAACTCATGATTACTGTGTGCTGGTTCAGTAGAATACTCAGAAAAAGCACAGAAATCACAGCATAATATGCTACACTGAACATCATTTACTCATTCTCAAGTTGTTCCAAACCTGTATGAGTTACTTTCTTCCGATGAACTCAAAAGAAGACATCTGAAGAACGCGTGCAACCAAACAGTTTACGGTAGCCATTGACTTCCATAGTATTTTTCCCCCCATATATTGAAAGTCAATGGTTGCCAACATTCTTCAAAATATCCTATTATATGTTCCACAGTCAGTTTGGAACAAACCGAGGGTGAGTAAATGATGACATTTAGTAAATGATGAATTTCCATTTTTCACTTTAAATATCAATGGAATCATTTTTTGCCCTATATATTAATTTATTCAAAAATACATAAAAAATGCAGTTCGTGCTCACAATTTTGATGCATAAAGCCAAAAAATTCAGCTTGACACAACTGTCTTGATATCATAATGAAGAAAAAAGCCCCATTAAAATAATGAAAAGAAATGTTTAAAGGGACAGTTCACCCAAAAATGAAAATTACTCATCCTCATGTCTTCACAAACCCATAGGACTTTGGTTAATCTTCGAAACACAAATGATATATTAATATTTTTAATGAAACCTAAAACAATTCTTTATCTAAATTGAAATCCCAAGGAAGCTACAAAGGTCATGAAGACATCATAAAAAAATCCATATGAATTGTGTTGTTTAATAAAAGTCTTGTGAAGAGATATGATTACTTATTATATGATGATCAGATTTAATTTAGGCTCAGTTCATTTGGATTTATGACCTTTTTGGATCTTCTAAGCTATGCTTACCTGGACTTTCAATGGAGGGATGGAAACCTTCCAGGTTTAATTGAAAAAAATCTTAACTTGTCTTTCAAAGATTAAAGTCTTATGGGTCTTATCGGTTTGCAATGACATGAGGGTAAGTAAATGATAACAGAATTGTCATTTTCGGGTGAACTATCCCTTTAAGTACCGGTAGTTATATGCATAATATTTTATAATTTATTAAAAAGAGAACAGTTTAACAAAACTGCTTCAATACATATTAATATTTAATTATTACAATTAATTAATTACAAAAATAATAATACTTTTGTCCACCAAATCAAAGTCATTTGTTTACATTAAAAAACATAATGTCAGTCATTATACATATTCATGAATTAATAATTTCCAATATGTTTACCTTGATAAATATATTTAAAGATTAAGATATACACTTATAAAAGTAAAAAGTTATTAAAAAGTTGAATTATAACTTTTATTAAAATTAAAATTATATGCAAACATCTTGAACACAAAGAGGACATTTCTAAAATCTCAACAGTAGACTACATTTTTTAAAGGTTTTCTTTTTCTTTATTGTAGACACTTTTATTTATCATAGCTATTGGTGGCTGACCTTTAATTTGCGCCGAGCATTAAATTCCTGTAGTTTCCTTTGTGTTGTGTCCATGTGGGAGAATCGTGCTGCTTTTCCAAGCACCCATGGGTGCTCCAGAGCCTGTTTCACTGTGAGCCGTTTATGAGGGTCCAGCACTATGAGCTTACTAACCTACAGACAACATCAAACAAACATAACCAACAGCTAATGGTGAATAAACAGAGCGGAAAAGCTCAGACGATTGAATAATCAAATCAGCATCTGAGTCGGCTATTGATATTTTGATGGAGATACTGTTCCCTCTCATCCCATCTGAAATCAGTCAGCAGTGCATGAACATCATCAGCATTACAAACAGGACAATAATGATGTGTGAGCACACAGTACTCACCAGATCCTTTGCATTGAGAGACACTTCATCCCACCAGGGGGAGACAAACTCATAATCGCAGTTCAGAATGCGACTGTACATGTACTGATCCCCCCTTGGATCGAAAAATGGTTCAAACCCACACAGCCTGAGGGCAAAGGAAGAAAGAACAGAGGCAGATAGCAGAGAAAGAAATGCTATTTATCATTTGAACAATGAAGTGAAGGGGAAACACACTTAAAGTGAGGAGGGAAAAAAACTGTAAAATGGTGAAATATTATTACAATTTAAAGGGGTCATATGATGTTGCTAAAAATAACATTATTTTGTGTATTTGGTGTAATGAAATGTGTTTATGTGGTTTAAGGTTCAAAAAACACATTATTTTCCACATACTGTACATTATTGTTTCTCCTCTATGCCCCGCCTTTCTGAAACGCCGGTTTTTACAAAGCTCATCGTTCTGAAAAGCGAGGTGTGCTCTGATTGGCCAGCTATCCAGTGTGTTGTGATTGGCCGAATACCTCAAGCGTGTAACGGAAATGTTACGCCCCTCACCATATTGTGATGCCTTGTCCCGGCCGGAGCGATGAGACAAAAACATTAAAACCCATTATAAACGAGGCATTTGTTGCATCCAGTGGGGACATAATTACGGATTTCAATTACTTATATGGTTTTTTACGCGTTGCATTGCATCGCGCTGCGTAAACATAAAACCATGTCTGCATTTGTGATTGGAGAAATGACAAACAACAAGTTCTACTCTATACTGCTCAAAACTTGCGTTTGAATCATCAGTGGCAAATTCTTTAAATATAAAAAACGTACTTACAGTCTGTGAGTCAGAACAGCCGGCATTGTAGTCTACTCTACCAGGATCAGGAAACAGTCCTCTATAAAATGCGCTGCACACATCTGAATATTTGGGTTGAACTGTTCTG